TTTTATTATCCAGAATGCATGTTTCGAAATACTTAGAGATTTTGTTTTATTTCAGAAAATAGTAAGTCTAAAATTTTATTTAATATCATAGCTACTGGTTTGGTAATGGTATTTACTGAATTTGTAATAAATCGAAACTTAATTGGAGTTTAATGTAGTGTTAGCATATAAGAAAGGTAAATTTAAATATTTAGAATCAACAGGTATATTCCATTTTTTAAATAATTTTATGTAAGTTATTAATAATTGTATTTTTACCTGAGGTAAACTCAGTAAAAGTTTTTTGTGTATTAATTTCATTTTTATAACCTGCGCATGAAATCTTTTACATATAAGTCCAAAGTTACTGTTCGCTTTATTGATTGGAGTAATCACAAACAGTTTTGAATTTCTTTTGAAAGTAGGAAAAGGAATATCTGTAGTATAATTAGATAAATTTAAATACCTTTCTTATGTTATTTATAATATATATTTTCCATTCAAAGAAAAATCTTGGGGATACAAATATTTTTTACTAATTTTTATAATATATTCATCAATATTTTTTCTATATTTTGTATTATTTAATTCTTTGTACTTTTATTTAAGATTATAAATTTAGTTCCTTAGAATGTTTATAAGATCCAAATGTTTGATCACATTCAAATCACCAGTAATAATATGCTTATGAAAAGGATAAGTAAACGTAATATCAGTATATCTTCAAGGTAAATTATCCGTATCTTCTGGATTAAGATTTTCAATGAATTGTTTATAAAGTTATAAATAAAGGATCCTATCGGTTTATTGTATCTAAAGCTAACACATGGTTGTTTTGGTTTGAATTTTGCGCAAAGCTACACGAGGGCTATCTGCGCTAGCCATTCCTAATTTAGCTGTGTGATACTAGATGGAAGGCAGCTAGTCATCACCACCCACAGCCAACTATTTTACCAACGTCACATTATAACGCCCCCTACAGCTGAAAGGACGAGTATGTTTGGTGTGAAGGAGATTCGAACCCGCGACCCTCAGATTGCGAGTCGAGCGCCCTAACCACCTGGCCATGCCACAGATAATTGTAATGCTTTTAGAGGAAATACTTTTTCTTGAACACTTTTATGTATTATTGAAGGCAGAATACGCTTTATATTTAAAATCTATAACAATATATGATTTTTCTAGGTTATCGTTTATAGTGTTTTATCATTAGAAAATATATCCCAATTTAACCTAAATTTAAGTAAATCCAAAACGAGATCTTTAATATGTACATTTTAAAATTCGAACGTATATGCAATACCTGATAACTATTTTATTTTTTCAACTTTAATTCAAAAATATTTTAAATAATATCTTTAACAATATTATTAGTGTTGGTATAAATAGAATCCAACTTCTTACAAAATGTTTTGAAATTAATACATTTTACATATGTTTTACCTTTCTCTCGTTTTCTAGTTCTTTCTTATTGTTTGTTTCTTTGTTTTTTAATTTCGCGCAAAGCTACACTAGGGCTATCTGCGCTAGCCGTCGCTAATTTAGCAGTGTAAGACTAGAGGGAAGGCAACAA